AGTTTGCTTTCGCATTTATTACGCAGCTTGTGAACTGCTCTTCTTCTGTGCTGCCCGCAGATCAATGGGAAGTTAGCAGGGATAGGATAGGCCTCAACCACCATCTTGTGCATGAGTCATGGACAAGAGCATGCTTATTAGGCATCAACCACAAGTGCTTAGGCATCAAAGAAACAGCTGTTTGAAAAGTTCAACGCTGAGGGGCACAGGAAATGACGAAACAAGCTAATGGGCATCCAACCAAGCTTACTTGCGAGGAGAGGAGGGAATGAAGGCAGCAAGCCATGCTCCGCATTTGAAGCATCAGCGGACACGACCGCATCCCTCACCTCTCCTCTTTCTAAAAGCTCATCTGGTCCATTGTGTGAATTGGCCCCGCTGCATCCACGTCCGCATCGCTTATGCAGCTGAATCCCGCCGGGCATCCATGCATTTACGATGGGGGTCAGCGTGGGTTCAGTGCAGGTTTGGAATGGGTCTAGCGTGGTTTGTTGGTTGGCGTTGGGGTGCTTTGTAATAGGTTTAGGATAGATTTGGGCTGGGTCAAGGTTCGTGTGCGGGTGGTTTGGGGTCGATTTAGGGTCGATATGGGGTCGATTTGGGATTTGTGTTGGTTCAGGGTGGGTGATTGAGGTTGGAGGGAGTTCCTGTCTGGTGTTTTTGCGGGTATATGGGGGGGGGGGGGGCAGCAAAAGTGGGAATGTCGATGCATAATTGGTTGCTTTTGGTCTGAAGCAATTTGTGGGGCTGCTGTTTTTGTTGCGGTACGGATGCTTCGAGCAGGTGTTCTTGATGCCTTGCTAAATCAGTCTCCCAATGCTCAGAGACATGCTGTTTGACAGGCAAAGCAGGTGGGCGGCTATTGAAGCGGAGGTCTGTTTGGGTGTGTCCCAAGATTGGGGACCCTTTTGGAACAGTGTGATGAAAGGGAGCCCACCAAGAAAACCGCCATATTGCTAGAGCTATTCTAGGAAGACGAACCTGATACATCCAGCAGCCGCGCATGCGCGTGTCACCGCAGGTTGCGCCGGCTGGGAATGCAGCAGAAAGCCGGCGCGAAGCAGAGCAGCAGAAGCAGCAGCCGCCGCAGCAGCAGCCGCAGCAGCCGCCGCAGCCGCAGCCGCAGCAGCCGCCGCAGCCGCAGCAGCCGCAGCCGCAGCAGCGGCAGCCGCAGAAGCAGCAGCAAGTGGGCCGAGTATGGCAAGAGCGCCAGGATGGGGCATGGGCCCCACTGGACTCCAAGCTTTCTTGTGGCAGGATAGTCAATTGTTCCAAGGGCTAAGACGACTATGCACCGTGCATGGTCAAAATGTTGTTGGCTGCTCGAGTCGACCAACATGATGTTGGAAGGAGGGTTTGAAGTGTTATCATGTTCCTCGGTCCATTGCAATGATTCGTGGGAGGAGGCCAAAGTGTTTTTTTGAACAGAAAGCAGGTACAATCTATCCTGTCGGGATTTGCCTTCAGATTGTTTCTGTTGGTCAGACATGTCGTGGGGTAGAAGCTTAAGATAGCAAGTCGCTTGGGGTAGCAAGACGGTGTTGGATGTGGCAAAGCTGGATGAATTGCTGTTCTCCACTGTGAGGTCGTCCTTTCTTGGCTGTTTTTGTGGATCTTTGGCCTTTCACTTTTTGGGGAAATGTATTTTCCCCACCTACCCCGCAGGAAAAGAGCAACACTTTGGTGCAGGGGGCATCAGCCCACCAAGACACGTGCAGATCCTTTACCCAAAACGGCGATGCAAGGAGGCGGCCCGAACGCTCGGCCGCGGGCGCAAGGCGCGAAGATGGGGGAGCCTGCCCAGCAGAGGTTGATAGAATCTAACGCTGACCCCACATTAAATGGGGGGATTTGACAGGAGTTGGACTTGTTTTTAGAGGTATTTGATCTGGTTTTTACGGTTTTTAGGGGAATTGATTGGTTTCTGAAGGGGAAGTTGACCGGCGTTAAGGGGAATTTGATTCTAGGGGGATTTAGCAAAACCAGCGTTGACCGGAGTTGGACTTGGTCTTTACAGGGATTTTACTGGTTTCTAGATGGGAAGTTGACCGGTTTCTATTGGCTTCTAGAGGGGGGGTTGACCAGTTTCTACGGTACAGGGGGGGTAGACTTTCTGGAGGGATTGAGACCGGTTTCTGGGGGAAAAACGCACTGTCCCTTTCGAAGGGATCTGAATTAGCCTGGACTCCGGACATGGAGTCCGGGGATCCCGACAAGGTTCCGCTTCCCGGCCCAAGGCGAATCCTCCAAAAGTGATGTTTCCCCACTAACGCCCCCTTAATACACAGGGGTTGATTAATCTGGGGTCAACATCAAGGATCACTTTCAGGGGTCTGAAAAGCTGTTCGATCCTGTCTAACAGCGAAGTAGGTGTAATGTCCGGCCAGTTGGTGGTTCAGAGTTGCAAGAGGAGACATAGTTGAGCCACCAGCAGACATTTGCAGTGCCTAGCGTTGACAAGCGGCGACTGGCGGCTAGAAGCCATTGCGGAACACTTGCCTTGGCAATTCCATGGGCTGCTTGTGAGTTGGCTAAATGTCCCGGAACCTTGCAGGCAAACTACTGTGACAGACTCAGCCGACCTTGTTGCCTTGCTCTACGCATCATGTATGTTCATTGTGGGCATGGTTTGGACTCTTTTCTCAAGTGCCCAAAAAGACCAACCGTGTGGCAACGCGCCAGTGACTGGGCAGGCGCAGCCCGTTCAAGCAGAAGTGCATAGAGGCGCGAGACACCAATCTTGTTGATGCGCATGGGAACCCTCAATTTTGATGGGGATGCCTATATTTTCCCACTTGGTTTTGACAATTTCCGAGGCTGGCGTTCAAAATCATTCTTCATTCGGCGTGCGAGTTTCCATTGGTACGGGTGATGTTTCAAGCGGAAATATAGATCAGTGGATCCGTTTCGCGGGTTCTAAAAACGGGATCTAGCTCCAACGTACACCAAAGGATATGATTCTGATTAGTGTCCAAAAGGACCCAGTTGTTAGAACCCACTTCAGGTTACCCAAATGATTCCCCATTGTACTGGATTCTTGCCCAATTCAGACTGGGCAGAATTCACTTCTCGGGAATTTCTTGTTTCAAGGTTTGGGGATTGCATTCAGATCTCCAGTTTCTGGAAATTGAGCTTTTGGGGCAGCATCAATTTAGGTGTAAACAACAAGTCCTTGTTCGTTGTGGCGAAGTGAGAAATGGTTGATCCATCTTTGCATAAAGGACAAAGGGACAGGGGGTAGAGCCGAGACTTTCCGAAGATCGGGACATCGCACATATCATAGCGGTGGCACAAGGGGTCGCTTGCACATAGCTTGAAGCACCATGCCCACCTGCATTCTGTGCCTCACGGTGCTGTGCTCGTGTACTTCCTTGTGCGCTTCCCCTTATCATCTCGCTGTCTAGGTGAATGACGGGACTCTGCGGAAAGGGTTTGGGCCCTGAGAGGGTGGGGTGCACCCCCTTCCAGCAAGCCCTTCATTTTCTCCTAGGTCCCCCGGTACTGCCCTTTTGCCGTTTCTTTTTTTGGGGAGGGTTCCCCTACTAAAATAGACTACAGAAAAAAGTTGGTAATTACCCTTATTCTAACCTCTAGTCTTCATTCCCAACAGTAAGCTGCTGGGTTTCTATCTCAAGGGCATTCCAGACCCCCACACAGAGTTTGTTGGATTGCAGGCATCCCTCCTGACCAACGACATCTCGACATACACATTCAGTCTTGGAGTACTTGGAGGTGCCTGTTGCTCGGGTTCCATGTTGCCGAGTTGGTGCAGCCTTCCGCACGGAGCTCCCGGTCCCTGCCAACGAGCTCAACGCCGGTCATGGGGTGGCGAATGCGCAGCCAGCCTGCCCCGCTTTCTTCCCGATACAAACGAAAGAAGGATCTTAGGTGCAGCAGCCCTCACTTATCGGCGGGGGCAAAGTTAGCCAACGCGTTGTGAAGGGATTTGTTGGAACCCCGTCCTTAATACCTATTCCGAGTGCGGCTATTACTTCTTTGCTTTGCTTTGGAGGTTACTTTGAAACGTTCTTGCAAAGGCTTTGGCCAAATCAGTAGCAGCGAGTAGCTAGGAAGCGTGGTGTACCCCAAAATGTCCCCCCCCCAAAAAAAAACCACAAGCAAACAGAAGGTTTGACAGAAAACACCATAACACACAGTGGTAGCGTTTCCATGTTAAAAAGAAACCACTCCATGTTGGCTTTCCTCAACCCAGCTGCCTGCAACTAGCGGATGTTGTGCGAGGCTCCGCTTCCAGCTCCTCACTTTGGTGTCGCGCCCAGCGTGCCTATGCAGAGGCTGGTGGGGGGCGGGGCTGGGGGACAGGTGGTGGACATCGGCTACCTTCCATTTCCATTCTTTCCAGGAATCCGAATCTTTTCAGGAATCTTTCCAGGGATCCGAATCTTTTCAGGAATCTTTCCAGGGATCCGAATCTTTTCAGGAATCTTTCCAGGGATCCGAATCTTTTCAGGAATCTTTCCAAGGATCCGAATCTGTTCAGGAATCTTTCCAGGGATCCGAATCTTTTCAGGAATCTTTCCAAGGATCCGAATCTTTTCAGGAATCTTTCCAGAGATCCGAATCTTTTCAGGAATCTTTCCAGGGATCCGAATCTTTTCAGGAATCTTTCCAGGGATCCGAATCTTTTCAGGAATCTTTCCAGGGATCCGAATCTTTTCAGGAATCTTTCCAAGGATCCGAATCTTTTCAGGAATCTTTCCAGGGATCCGAATCTTTTCAGGAATCTTTCCAGGGATCCGAATCTTTTCAGGAATCTTTCCAGGGATCCGAATCTTTTCAGGAAACCATCAAAACCCAGGGAAACAGCTGGTTTTTGAAAAGAACGATGGTTGAAAAGAATGGGGAATCAACCCTTACAGTGGTGGAAATCGGCACCCGTGGTTTGCGCGATACCCGGCAGTTTCCCTCTTTAAACGAGCTGTCATGAGTTCATCAAAGATGTACTCGCTGGCCGAATCGGAGACTTCGACGAAACCAAAACCAAAACCAAAGTTTAATTACCATCAAGACTTGTTGCAGATGTCAGCATTTGCTCGGAACAGTGGCGCTAGTTTTGTGTTTTCCCGGGAAACACACCCCGAACCGAAGAGGATCCATTGGGTGGCCTCAGGACAGAGCTCGTCAATGCCGCAGATTCGCGGAAGAAGGCGTGGGTCACTTGCTGGGAGTCATGACACGCAGGTTTACGCGTACAGCCACGCAGGAGACCATGGAAAGTAGTTAACCAGGGGGGCCACTGGAATAGAGTTGGTTTCGTTTTAGCTTGCAGTAACCACACCCAAAGGGGCGTCTCACTTACCCTCGGGGAGTGTCAGAACTGCTTGCTGAAGGACCCTTCGCATGTCGGTTGAAAGTCCTTTGGAGCTTGTCCTTGCAGTCAGCACTTTGACAGCCTTGCTCTGTTGTCAATCAGTGATGCTGAGAATGAACAACCCACAAGGATGTGTAAATGAACATCAAAAACTGCATCAATTCCAAGCTGGACTTACCTTCCCCCGTCAACTCAGCCCTTGGATAAATGACCAAAGAAGACTTGTTGTTGTTTATGCTCCTTTCCCCTAAACGGTGTATATCCATGATAAAGCAGGTTGCAAAGAGAGTCAAGGCGTATGAACCGGGTTGGGATGCTTGTAGAAGGGAGTTGGAGCCCAATTGATCCAGCACCATTTTCGGGATGCAAGAAGTCCCAACCTGGTATGAACAAGGGGTAACCACTACTCGGACGTGGTATGAACCAGGGGTACGAAGGGCTATGCCTCAGAACCGGGGCCGAATTTCACCTTTCCCTTCAAACCCATACCAACAAGGCGCTTTTACCACTGGATCACCGGCTTCGGAGGCGACTCCGACAGCTCGGTGAGAAGGCCGGGATGGACCCATCGCCGCGGCCGCTGAGTTGGAGTCAAGACCTGGGCAGAAGGTGAAGTCGGCTGTGGGTGAACACCAATGGTACCATTTTGGGGTAGGTGCACCACGACTTTTTAGCCTATTTTAGTGGGGATTGGGATGTTTACTGGGAATACCGGATTTGACCCATGCCCGTTTGATTACTCAGATTTCCTAAGGTGTAAAAATCCAAAGGGCGGCCGCACGTATTGCTGGCTGGGAAGTGTCCCCTAGCCTTCAACCTGGTTTTGAAGGTAGATAGATTAAGTGTGTTTTTCTTTGCGGTCTGGTGTCTGTTTGGCTCGAATTTACCAGGGGCCACTTTTTCCCGAAAGGATCTCTGTCAGATATTTGGCCGTGGGTCAAAAATAGGCGCCCAAAATGGAGCCCTGGTAAGTGGAATGCGGAGCCCGGAGGCTGGGGGCTAGAAGTGGCAAGTTGGGTTTGTGCCAACATGGGAACCGGCATCGCCCAGAAACTTTGTGGGGTGTTCCTTGCAGCCTTTCCTGCAAAGCCCATCAAGAGCGGTACTGCTGGAATAAAAAAACGTCAAAGACACCATCCAACCACAAAAGGAGTACCAAGAAAACATGGAAGTGCACAGATTTTCCTGTGAGCTGAACCATGTTAATGGGATATCCGGGTACAAGTGCTCTGGGGGGGGGTAATTGGGGGGTGGGGACAAATGCGAACTTTTTTGAGCCAAAGTGGGGAACAATCCCAGCTACAAAGCGGGGGAGAGCTCTCTGTCCTTGATCCTTGCTGGGTTTTGGGGTACGGTACGTTTTTCCCTCACTGGGTCCCCTGACGGTCCCCTCCGGTTCTTTGGGAGGCGGGGGGTTCTGTATCAATCCGTTGCCCACCTTACTGGGTTTTTGGGTATGACTCACCAAGAAAGCAATCCTCACTTGAAATCTGATTGCAAATGGTGGGTCAAAAATACGTACCCCAAAATGGGACCCATTAAATGGGACCCAAGATAAATGGAAACATGAACTAAAACCTGCGGTCCCCTGGTGGCTCGATTTTGACCCATGCCCAAATGGATTCCCGCTGTCTTTGCCACCGAAATGCTGTCGGTCTCGGGCCTCAGCTTAAGAACTTCAGTCACAAATGCCATGCACGCATCCATGCATAAACACCTCCATCCGTCCAGCAATCCGTCCGTCTATGCATCCATGCATCCATCATCCATGCATCCATGCATCCATGCATCCATGCATCCGTCCGTCCGTCCGTCCAGCCAGCCATCCATCCATCCATCCATCCATCCATCCATCCATCCATCCATCCATCCATCAATACTTCCATCCATCCACCCGCCCACCCACCCACCCACCCATCCATCCATCCATGCATCCATCCATCCATCCATCCATCCATCCATCCATCCATCCATCTCACCTCATTACAGATGACAGGATTAGAGATCTGCCATTTGTGTACAACCCAGTTTTGGATAGTGGATTTACAGAGGTCATGAACAACTGATTAGGGACAAAAAAACATATGCTGCTTTCATGTACTAATTGAAAGGTCATGTTGGTATCTGAAGCTCGCATGAGAAGTAGAGCGATGGTTGGTTTCCTTTGGCTTGTCCTGAAGCGCAAGTATGCGGCGCCAACCGCGCGCAGTTTGACTCGCCTTCCTCCAAGGGCCTTGGGGCTTTTGATCGGAGATTCCACTTGCACGCCAAAAAAAATGCGGCATCCTTTGCTGCCTTGTTTTCTTTCAAGCTGGGAGTAGCACGGGCTCACTGGCGCGTGGTGAAGGTTCCTTACTTGGACGTGCTTGAACTATCTTGAACTCAGGTTTGGGCATTGTCGTTTTGTGCCGAATCCCCTTCTTCTATGGCTACTTCTTCTTCTGTTGCTTCTTCTCCTCTGCTTCTTCTTCGTCTTCCTTTTGTTTGTCCTTCTTTCTCCCTGCAGGGTTGGCTCCGCTGATTTCTCATGGTCTTTTGTTAGCTTCCCATTGGCTCGTCGGCTTCTCGCTGGTTTCACCGTGGGTCTTCCTTTCCAGCCCCCAGGGAGAAGCCGCCGGAGCTTGAGGCACGGAGACACGAGAAGTGGATCGCTGGTTGCGGTGGTTAAAAGGTTACCACATATCGAGTGGAATCAAAGAGATATAATATATATATATATATTTAAGGGCTGCCGCCCAGTGCCGCCGACCCCTGGATTTAGTTGTGGTTTTGGAGCCACAAAAAACAGTGCCCTTGGTTTTGGTTTCTTTGGTTTCTTTTGGGTGAAATGTTAGTGGCCCCAAAAGGCTAATCTTGTATTTCAGGGTTTTGTTTGCATTTTTGAAGACACGAACAGGGACTGTGACTTGCTGGGCAACAAATGATCCCTGTCATGATCACTATCATCGTAGCATCCTCTGCATTACCAAGGGTGCCTAGCGATGATCATGACTACACATCACTATCGAAACGGCACCTCGCCTCAGATGCCATTTGTGTCATTGAGATTTGGAGTCCTGCCTTGATGATAATCATCACTACGCATCATTCGCAGCATCTGTGGCAATCATGAGGATAATCATCACTACGCATCCCCAGCATCTCCAGCAGCGATGATCATAATCATGACTACGCATCACTGTCGAAACGGCACCTCGCCTCAGATGCCATTTGGGTCATTGAGATTTGGAGTCCTGCCTTGATGATAATCATCACTACGCATCATTCGCAAGAAACCAAAGAAACCAAAACCAAGGGCAGTGTTTTTGGTTGCTCGAAAACCACAACTAAATCCAGGGGTCGGCGGCACTGGGCGGCAGCCCTTGAACAAGAATGAGATGATGATGAGCATCATGATGATGATGAGAAGAGCGATGACATCATAATAAGGATGATCATGATGATGATTATGATGATAACTATCATCGTAACACCCTTTGCATCACCAGTGCTGCCTAATGATGACCGTGATGATAATGATGACAAGGATGAGGACTGTGATGATAACTATCATCGTAGCATCCTCGGCATCATCAGTGCCGGCTAACAAGAGATGATGATGACCATGATGATAGTGATGATAAGAATAAGAATAAGAACAAGAATGAGATGATGATGACCATCATGATGAAGATGAGAAGAGCGATGACATAATAAGGATGATCATGATGATGATTATGATGATAACTATCATCGTAACACCCTTTGCATCACCAGTGCTGCCTAATAAGAGATGATGATGACATCCTCGGCATCACCAGTGCCGGCTAATAAGAGATGATAATAAGCATGATGATAGTGATGATAAGGATGAGGACTGTGATGATAAGTATCGTCGTAGCATCCTCTGCATTGCCAATGGGGTCTAACGTTACTTTTGAAATGCATATAAGAATAAGAACAAGAATGAGATGATGATGATCATCATGATGATGATGAGAAGAGCGATGACATTGATGATTATGATGATAACTATCATCGTAACACCCTTTGCATCACCAGTGCTGCCTAATAAGAGATGATGATGACATCCTCGGCATCACCAGTGCCGGCTAATAAGAGATGATGATGATGATGATAAGGATGATGATGATGATGATGAACTGACATGATAATCATCATGACGCATCCTCAGCATCACCAGCAGTCATCATGATAATCATGTCCACGCATCTTCTGCATCTCAAATCGGGTCTAACGGGACACTTGAAACGTATATAAAAAAGATAAGGACGATGACGAAGAAGATGATGATGATAAGCGCCGTGATGATGCTGATGATGATGATGATGATGATGAACTGACATGATAATCATCATGACGCATCCTCAGCATCACCAGCAGTCATCATGATAATCATGTCCACGCATCTCTGCATCTCAAATCGGGTCTAACGGGACACTTGAAACGTATATAAAAAAAGATAAGGACGATGACGAAGAAGATGATGATGATGAGCACCGTGATGATGATGCTGATGATGATGATGAACTGACATGATAATCATCATGACGCATCCTCAGCATCACCAGCAGTCATCATGATAATCATGTCCGCGCATCTTCTGCATCTCGAATCGGGTCGAACGGGACACTTGAAACGTATGTAAAAAAAGATAAGGACGATGACGAAGAAGATGATGATGATAAGCACCGTGATGATGCTGATGGTGATGATGATATCATCATGACGCATCCTCAGCATCACCAGCAGTCATCATGATAATCATGTCCAAGCATCTTCTGCATCTCCAATCGGGTCTAACGGGACACTTGAAACGTATAACAAAAAGATAAGGACGATGTCGAAGAAGATGATGATGATGAGCACCGTGATGATGATGCTGATGATGATGATGATGATGAACTGACATGATACTCATCATGACGCATCCTCAGCATCACCAGCAGTCATCATGATAATCATGTCCGCGCATCTTCTGCATCTCGAATCGGGTCTAACGGGACACTTGAAACGTATATAAAAAAGATAAGGACGATGACGAAGAAGCTGATGATGATGAGCACCGTGATGATGATGATGATGATGATGATGATGAACTGACATGATAATCATCATGACGCATCCTCAGCATCACCAGCAGTCATCATGATAATCAAGATAAGGACAGCGGCGACGACCACCACGCCGATGATGATGATGATGATGATGATGATGATGTTGAATCTTCGGTTATGCTCATTTACCAGCCAGCCTTGGACTTGTAACCGCCCTTCCCGTACGCCTCCCCCTTTGAGGAGAAGGGGTCGGCGGATATAATATTATATATATATATATATGTATATGTGATTTGTTTGCGCAAAAAGGATTCTGCAAGTTTTGGGAGACTTTCGCTGAGGCATGGGCGCTTTGAGAAGTCTTTCTGGTTGCTGTCAAACATGGCGGCACGCAAAACTATGATTCCCATTGGCAACAAACACATTCGTTTGTAAGCACCCTGAGGCTCTGAGGTTGCTTTGCAGGGCGCAGGGCTCACTGGATTTTCCCAAACCAGAGGTTTCAAAAAAAATGATTAAATATTTGTTGTTCTACGGGTTGATATTGTTGACGTCTTTCATCCACATCATCGACAAGATTCCCTCTCTTTTGAGGTTAGGCACGCTTCGTGGCATTTCTTGAAAGGGCAACCCAAAGGGAAACCAACCATTTGGAGGTTCCGCTATCTAGAGACGAGACAATGTTCCATGATCGGCCACCTGCGAGTTGGTCTGGGGATGTTTTAATTTTTTGTCGAGCCTGACTCAAGTTTTTGGGTGGCTCGGGTGTCAAACTCATTCACAGATTGATGGGATTGGTGAATTTGATGTCAGGATGAGGATTCCTGGAAATCTGACACTCCGCCTGGAGCCTAGAGGGAGGGGAGAGAGGGCTTGAAGGCTGCAGGGGATTCCTTGGCGCAAGGCATGGAACAAGGGGTTGGAGGTGTTTTTTCTTGAAAGGTGCCAGTCTTAGAGCGAGAGTTTGGGATATGTCTTAAGTCCAAGCAAGCTTGAAAGGCCTACTCCGTTTGAGTCCTTGTGGGCGTTGGCCAAAAATATCGGAGCTGGAATTCAATCATTTGGCCTATAGAGTGTTTTCTAGAATAGGAGCTCGGAAGGCGACAATGACACTCCTTGGCCACAGCCCAAACCAGAGCAGACATGGCATTTGAGTCTTTCTTACTCCGTTGTGATTGCTTCCTGCAGCAGTTCACATTGCGGTCAACCGTTCCCACTCTTTGATAATTACAGCACCTTATCCTTTCGTTTTCTCTTTGGTTGCTTCTGTTTGCTTGCTTGCTTGCTTGCTTGTTTGTTTGTTTGTTTGTTTGCTTGTGTGTTTGTATGTTTTGTTGTTTTTGGGTGTGTAGGTGTCACCGTGCATGAGTTTCTGTTTGTTTTGCTGGCCCTGGTAGTCTTTCTGGGTCCCTATCGACGACGCGCTTGCGCAGGAGCAACGAGGCGGGTGGGTCCGTGGGTCCGAGTGTGGTCTACAAGCCAAACGGGGGTATGTGGGTGTGTCTTGTTTTGGGAGGCCCGTTTTTTTTGGCGGGTGTTAAAGGAAACCATCATGCACGCTCAGGAAATTGGGGCAGCGTGTCAAGGTTTTTCGCCGTGCGCACCCTTGCATGACCTGGTTCTCATTTATAGGGATCCGATTGTGCACAGCCCACAAGGCCCCTTCAAAAGGGGGCGTTGGAATGAGAGGTGCCATTGAACCAAAGTACCTAAAAATCACCGGGACCGGGATTCCATGGACCCAAGTCTTTTCATGGGTGCCACTACACCAACTTGCCTCGGGGTAGAAACATGGTTATATATCTGGCTTTTTCGCTCAGGGCGGGTCATTTTCTGCACTTCATTTGCAGGCCAGGGCTCGGCCGGATGCGCCCGATGCGTCTGGCGCTTGGAGCTTTTGACGGTCGGCGTCTGGCGCTTTTGGTGCTTCACCTCGCTTCCAATTCAATCGCGGGGCCTCAGACCAACTCAATGCTTGGCGCGTCCCCGTGGCAAAGCCCTCCCCGCGCACCTTGGACAGGCTGAACCCCCTAAAGGAAAGCCATAGCGTTACGCCATTGCCGCTTTAAGGAATCTGGAAAGCCGGATGCTTGCTGTTTCGACGTTGGTTG